TAATTCCCTTGCTGACTCTGATTACCCGGACAGCATCTTAAAGGTTTGCTGCGAGGCAGCTAGATGTTATTCTGTTGGAAGATATCAAATTCTATGCTTTTGGAAAGAAGCAGGATTTCTCGGTTGCAAGGAAATCTCAAAAAGGAACTTGAGAATTTTGTGAGCATTTGCTTCAGGTTTGCTCAACATTTTGAGGCAAGTGTAAATCACTTCTAAGTAAGCTGTGACGGAGAAAATGTTCATAATTATAAGTTGCTAGCCAATCTTAACACTATTTTTGCCTCAGTGCTGCTTAAATTACTGCAGCACATTTTATAGACAAAAAACTGTGACTAATTAATACCTGCAATACCAGTAGACTCTTGTAGGAGCACTACTGAGAGGAAGCTGAACTAACTCCTTTGGTTGAATACGATCGTTATTTCTTGGATTATAGGTTATAAACTGAGGACCTCAGCCACTCCAGGCACTTCTCACTGGTTTGGCAGAAAGGGCACGGAATGTATAGAGGCAGAGTCTGAGCTATGCTCTGGTTTCCTGAGATCATAGAATCATTTGAGTTGAAAGGGATCTTTAAAGGCTATATAGTCCATCTCCCCTGCAATGAACAGGGACACCTACAGCTAAATCAGGGTGCTCAGAGCCCTGTTCAGCCTGATCTCAAATGTCTCTAAGCATGGGGCATCCACCAGTTTCATCGCTTCACTACTCTTATTTTAAAAAACCTTCTCCTTATAGTCAAAATCTCTCCTCTTTTAGTTTGAAGCCATTTCCCCTTGCCTTATTACAACAGGCCCTGTTAAAGAATCTGTCCCTTCTCTCTTACAGCTCCCCTTTAGATACTGGAAGACCACTCTGAGGTCCCCCTGGAGCCTTCTCTTCCCCATGATGAACAACCGCAGCACTCTAAGCCTGTCCTTGCAAGGGAAGTGTTCCATCCCTTGGAGACAGCGAGGGCTGTAGACACAATTAGGGCTCATGAGAAACACATGTCCTGCTGGAGTACAGCTGCCTGTGCTCAGTGGATGTATGAAGACCTGAGGGTCTTGTCAGGCCACTTTTCAGTTGCAAGTGTTTTCATGGTGATAAACACTGGATTTTATCAGACTGTCAAGTGGCATAAAAAAAAAAAAAAAAAAAAAACATGCAAATTTTTGATCTCGGTTGATCTTGGGACCTATTTTTCCTGTGACAGCTGGGACCATCTTAGAAGAAAGCAACGATAACAGTGATAAAAGCGTTTCTTTAGAGCTTTGTAGTTGGTGAGAGAGGATGTTCAGTTTACCCTAGATAGTGGTCATAACCTGTAAACAGTGAGGCTGTGCGTACTGCTTTCTGAAGCAGTGGTTCGGGGAAGCTGACCACTAGCTACTGTTGCTATGAGCAGAACAGCCGCGTTCCAAGCGTTGGCCAGATATACATCTAGGTCACCGCCAGTGGCGGCCAAAATTGCACATCTGCAACAGCTTCTTGAATGTGACTTTATCACTGCTGTTGTGCATTTCTAACTGTTCTGCTGAGGCACTTTGTCTGCTGGGAGCAAGACTTGTGATTCAATGTTTAAATGCCTTTGAAAGAGAGAGGAGCGAGGATTCCTAACCTTGTTCGAGCAGAAGGGTACTCAGAGAATGGGAGGAGTTTCCAGGTGCATAATGTCACCGGCACAGAAACCCTGCGCAGCATTGTTAGTCTGTGTGCTGGTTGGAAAGCAGAAGTGAATCCAGGAGTCCCAGCACTGGTGGGCAGTGCTTTGCTGTGTCTCAGCTTGTGTTGTGTGACATCTCCCCTCGGGCCAGCTGGGGAGAGTTTTAAATGCAGAGATATCAGTCAGCATCCTGATTATGCTATGTTTTACTTCCATTGCCTTGTTTTTTTAATAGGATATGACTTTTATATATCTACAATTGGAAGGCATTTTAACATTCCTTCCTGATGTGTACCATCTGGATTGAAATGTTGGATATGGAGACTGTTTTTAACAAATAATTGCTTCTTTATAATAGATACAATTGATAGAGGAGCTCTAGTTGGGCAGGTAGTCCTGTGCTTTTCCACAAAGGAATTCTACTTTTTGCAAGTGAATTGTAATGTTTGCTTGTGTGTTCAGTTTAAATGCCCAAAGCAGGATTTCTATAGCTAAAATTAGAAGTCAAGGGTTTCTAATTACCCCTTCTTCTCCATATTTTTTTCCAGTCTTTTTTTTTTATTTAAACCATCGCATAAGAAAACTGCTTAAAAACAAAAAGGAAACAAAACCAACCCTCCTTCCTTTTACTGCTCTGATATTTGTGGAAGAAATGCTGCAGAAACACTTTATGCAGAACATATGAAATGTGAATGATTTTAATTTTTAATCAGAATAGATTACTTTCCTGAAATTTATCTTTTATCTTGGAGGTTATGCACATGAGAAGCGAATCTGTAATCTTTCTGTTAGCTTTATTACAAAGCTCTTCTAAATGTCTTTAATTACAAAAGTCTCAGATACACCATGTGAACGATCTGCTGGAATGACAAAGTCAATTAAAATAGAGAAATATATTGTTTTGTGCTGCATCCCAATACTTCCTTACCTATTTTTCCCATGCAAACAACATATTAAAATCCTGAGTCATTACATCTCTGCTTTATTTCAGTAGCAAGTAGGACGTGCTAAACACGTACATGTGTTTGTGAGTGTGCACGTGTGCCTGTGTGGCATCCGGTGTTTACACTTTTAGTGGACATTTCACTCTCAGCCTTTTCCATCTCTGATGCTTTATGTGGTCAGCTGTGGCTCTGCAAACCTGGCCAGCGCCCTGTGGGAAGGCATGAATAGCCCTTGTTGTGTGAGCACACCTGTGTTCTGCGCACAGCTGTTTGGTTCACAACAGGGTTGCTGTTAGCAGTTATGAAACGTTTTCACACCACCCACCCGCTATCCACTGGTTTATAACGTTTACTGGCATCTCAGTCCAGCTCAAACTCTTTCTTTTTTTTTACAATTTTTAATTTAAAGGACACCAGGATAATTTATTGATAAGAATAACAAGCCGAATTGGCACAACACCTTGTTAAAAATATTCCATCTCTCCCGTGTCAAAGATTACTTTATTCCTGTCTGTGGTAAATCTGCAACCATAAGAAAAAATGTTTCTGTTTGACTTTTTTTTTTTTTTTTTTCCTATCAGTTTGTGCTGAGTAAAATTTGTACAGGCTGCAACATTACTTCATTTTTTAATGCCTGTTGTTGGAGATGCAGAATCACCCATTTGTTCTGTGTTTCATCTTTATGGTATGACAATAAGCAAAGATGAAGAGCAACAAAAAGTGAACTTCTTAGACCAGCCCAACTGTTTGGATGGAGAGCTCCACTCTCCTGAAAGGAAGATGCCTAACAGCTCATGTTTCTACTAGATGGCATCAAATCTCCAAAATGGAAAATGGAGTTAAAAGAAACACCTATATATGAAATGATGTGGCAAAATGAAGCTGGTGCTCTGTATGGAGGGGAAAAAAGACAAATTAACTTAATGTAAAAACTGCTTTTTCACGCTCTTCTGTAGGAAAATGCTGTTTAAATTCATAGACTAGGAAGGCAGCTGAACTCTGCTGTGTAGTTTTATCAGCTGTGTTTTGTATCTCTCCATGACACAGTTTGTGGCTCTCTTCTGAAAGCAGGACAATGTGTTTTGACAGCCCTTGGCAGTGAGAGCAACAGGGAGAAAAGCAAACCAAAGTGATTCAAATTAACACGAGCTGGCTGTTGCGAAGCTGGACCATCCAAAGCATTTCCCATGAATAGAGAACCTCAGATATTGTAAGATGCAAAGTAGCCAACTGGGTTAGAAACAATGGGCAAGGGAGGCTGCTAACACTGCTTGCCCTGTCACCACCTACAAAGCCCATTGTTTTTATTCAGTAAGTTACAGGGACATTTAGCTCCATTCCTTTTTGACAAGGTGAACAGGTCCTACACTGAGCTCCATTTGGGAGCTGTGGGGAAAGCTGCATGAACCAGCAGGGCAAAGCTCAATTAAAATTGCTTTAGGTAACCTTGACCATTTCTTTAGGGGATGCTTTGTGTGGGAATTTGTTGCTCTTATAGATCACACATGGGTGTTGGTTTCCTTAGTTTGCTGTAATGGGACTGCTGATGGTTTTTATGTTTTGAACATTTTATTGCTGATCAGAAGGAAAAAGACTGAGAATGTAATATATGTATGTTGCTCTGAAAGTAATGCCTCCTATTTATTTCCATGGAAAATACAACAGATACTAAGAGTGATATGGCACTTTTGATAGAGGAAAGTCCCAGCTACAAAACACTATTTTTCAACAGTCACCACCATTAGCTATACATTTTCACCAGTGATGAACAAGAGCCTAGGTGCTGTGCTTGTAACAATCTATACCAGCAGAGGTGACCCACTGTCACAGTCATCACTGCTGAAAAGCACCACCCACCACCTCACTGTGCTCACATCCACTCTTTGGTCTCCATAAACATTCAGCAAGCATCAGTGAATGTCAATGGGTGCCACTTTTTCCACATGGAGGAATTTAGTGGCGCACCTTTGCTACATACTCACTTCCGTGTCAGACGCCATTGTGTCAGAGTGCCCCTCTGCTGCCATCTGTCACACGGCAACAACATGTAATGGAATAATGGTGGGAAGGTTCAGTCTCTACTGCCATCCCTCCAACATCCACCTCTGATATCATGGACCAACATCACAAAATAGGAGGCATTAGTTTTGGATCTGCCCTTCAAAGACACTTGTTTTTAAAGTCATCTTAATTTAAAAAAGAGACAAAAGCTCTTTGGTGACAATGGAATTAATGATTCTCCACTAATACCAGAGTAGTCGCCATGAGGTCCAGCCTTGCTCACTTGATTCAGAGATAAGTAGTTTGTGGAAGGATTCAAAGTGATCCAGAGAAGAAAACCCTCAGAAGTACCTCAAAAAAAATTTGATTTCTGTCATTCACTGACATTCCTTTCTCTTCTCATCTTGCAGGACAAAGTTTTCCTCTCGTATTCTTCTGTTGCTGGTAAGAAACTATTATTTTCTGATGTGTATCCAGTGCTATGACCCATCCCTCATTTTGTGTGTCACAAAATTACTTTTTCCCACATTCTCACTTCGTAGAATCTTCCTTTTACTTAAGATCCTTTCAATTTTCTTCTCTTTTAGCATCTTCCCCCATCACATCACCAAATAAATCTTCCTTTAGATAACTCTAAGTATCAGTTGTTTTCTTCTCCTTCCCACACCTGCCCACATTCAGCTTTTCTTCTCACGCCCAGTGCCTTCCCACTCAGTCCCAGCTGGAAGACCTCCTCTTCACATGTAATAAAACCTACTTTTTTTCTGTGAGTTATGAAGAGGACAGTAACCCTTCTATGGGTATTTCAGTCCTTCATGATCCATAATAGATTTTATATGTGCTGTGCCCTGTGGAGCAGGGAATTGTGGTAGATGCAAGAAATAATATATTTGCCCAAGGTCATAAAGAAAGTTAATGGGTAAATTAAGCCCAACCTCATGGATCCTAATCCTAGCTATGGATGCTGTAACAGAAATGGTGAGGAGGATGGAAAATCCAGGCAGATGATTTGTATTCCTTACTGCCAAATATGACACAAATAGAGGCACCCTGTTCCTGACGAGGAGAGGCGGGAGAGGGGGACATAATTCATGCTATTCAGATTCTGCTATTTAGCATTTGCCGATCCCTAATGGGATATTTGCAAAGTATAATATTTTCTAACAGCTGTAAGGACAAGAGAGCCTAAAATTTCTCCCTATACATAATATCCGTGAAATTGCATTGAATATTGTAATGATGTGTTATGCTGCCATTAGCTTCCTGTGAATACCTAATTTGGAAGGTTAATGAAATTGACAAATGTGTGTACTGTACGCATATTGTCAGTGCTAGTTAATGGCAACCCTCACATTTTTATTTGTAAAATTATAAAACTGAAAGTGACAATTATTGTAACTTTATCTTTTTTTGGAATATAGCACAGCATGCAGTTTACTTAAATAGAGTTGTATGTTTTAAATTTGTATACTGTTGTATGAATTCCTTTGCTCATCATGCGATTATGTACTTAATTTTTGTATGAATGAGAGCATGTATTGTAGGTATTTTGTAGGATATTGGGCCAATTCTTTGGGTTTTGTATGTACTCTGTGCTAAAATACCGTAAGTCCTTGTGTTTCTGTTGGCTCAACAGTGCTTGATTACAGAAATGGTGCTAGTTAATTCAAAGAAACATCCAAAATGAATTTCCCTAGGCCAGGAAAGTATGCTGCGTACACTAGAAGAGCATGCTCTTGTAGTGTCCGTAAATGATTGAGTGCCATAAGAATTCACTTGCAGCTGTTACAGCTTTCATATATTGATTTTACGAAAGCCTCGAAGTCTGGACTAGATATTTCTTTGACTCTAGAAAATGCTTCTTTAGGTCAAGGTCACAATTTCAGATGTAAAGATTTTGACTTGAGATCATCTTTGCTCTAAAGCTGTTTGGTTAAACAGATCTTTACATAGCAAATGATCCAAGATAGTCCCAGGGATCTCAGGTTTATCTACTATGAAAAGAGAAGACACATCACGGTAATCCTCTGTGATATACTGCGGCATGGATGACAATGCCTCATCCAAGCCTGACAAGCTAGAAAAGGGTGGATGGATGGAATGAGAGCTACACAGCCCCCTTCCTCAGTTACTTCATTTTTGGGCAGCTCTTCAACTCTTTATGGAGTTTGTTTGGAAGGAGCAGGTGCCACAGAGGTGGGCTGCTGCCCCGAAGAGACCTTTTGTGTCACTTCCAAGAACAAAGCTGTCTTTTAAACCCAGTGCTATATCGAGTCTGTGAGTCATGAATCTTTAGATCAATAACCAAAATGTTTTTATACGTGGGGGCAGCCCCAAACAGAGTGAATCAGCGCCGTCGGTTCCGCATTCAGCCCCGCTCTGTGAAGTATCTGGTTTCAGATGACAGATCACAGGAGTGGGACAGTGTGATCTGTGCAGGCTGAGGAACAATTTGTGGGCACAACGGAGCGGAATTTTCTTTTTGATATTCAGCACACCATCCCCTCAGCATCGTGCAGAAGCTGTGTTCTCAGGATGTCCCAGATGCTGCAGGCAAGTTAACAGCACATCTGGACATCTCTGGAGTTTTTTTGTGGGGTGACTTGGAGGAGGTGAGATTTATGAGAGATTTAGAATCTCATGTGGCTTAATTGTTCTGTTTTTGCTATGTGAAATTAAGAAACACATGGCAGAAATTGGTGAAAGAATGCATCTATTCAGTCCCTTTGTTGTGACCACCATGGATGCCGATGGTCTCAAACACAGGATAGTGATCAAATGCTTGCCTCCCTCACATGTTTTCTGTTCTTCATGCTCTCCCGGTGGCCATGTCATATCAGGCTCACAGTAACCCCCTGGGAGGAGCTGAGGTCCACCAGTTGTGCCACGGCCCTTGTTACCCCTGTAGGGGCCTTTAGCCCAAAAACACCGAATGTTTACTCTGACTGTCAGTGTCTACATTTATTTGAAATATGAAATTTGGAGCCAGAAGAAGCTTCACACTGAGATTTATCGTGTGAAGTGGGAGTCTTTTACTTCTCTGTGGATTAATGATTTACTGATAGCTCAGTAAGGCTAAGAGATGTCTGCACCTGGCCTATTGAAGGAACATTTGCATTTGAAGAAGTTAGGTCAGTTAACAGCCCAGCAAAAGGACAAGGAAACTCCCTCTTGAATAGAGGAAGGGAAATGAATTTGAATGAACCTTCAATCAGACCTCCAAAAAGGAGTGCAGGGCTATAAGTCAGTGTTTCTCCTCAGATGCAGGCTCCCTCCCATAAATACATATTTGGGATGGATATTGTACCCTGGCTCCGAGATGCTGACCATATGGATTAGATGTGGTTTAGAGCCTGTTTGGTAACGAGGTACAGAGTGAAACAGAAGGGGAAAGAGAGAGTCATAGGCCCTTTGGACCGAATTTTGGAGTAAATTTTCTTTCCTTTTTGCCAGCCTTATGTTATAAACCTCTGCAACTGTATTGCTTATTTTAGATTGGATAAAAAAGTATTTTTCCTTGCTTGAGCTAAGGATGATTTCAGAATGCTGGCTAACATAGAAAACCTGTCTTGAAATTGTTGTTTGGAGGCACAGTTTACTAACATGTAAATCCCCAGCACATTGTGGTACACCTCAGCAGGAATTTCCATCTCTGCATGGGACAGTGTTGGAGCTGCTACAGCGGAGAGATGAATTGAAAGTAGAATTTCTGGATGTACAGCACATGGCAGAAAAAGGCTTTGCACAGAAGGGGCTGAAGAGTGTATTGATCCTCCAGGCTCAGGTTCCTCTCAAGGCCTCTTGGGGTGCATGTGAAAAATAGGTAACACTGAGAGCTCAGCATACTGAAAGCAGTAGTTCCTGCAGGACTAAGCATTTTTGATGCACATACAAGTTCTTCTATTCTTGTCACACCAATTCGTTTCTGATCATTTTGTGTTTACAGGAGTGGGGCTAATAGGACTGCTGCTTATGAATGAGGTTTTCTTTAAGGTTAGAAACTAAAGTTATGAACTGTTAACTCGTGAATTAGAATGACTTAAAGAAAGAAAGTAATCATGAGGAAGTATTTCAGATTAAATGATCTTCCCTTAAGAAATATAATGGAACATCTAATTTTTGGTGCTTTTTAGCCTTTCAATCAGCACAAGAAGATTAATGGCGATTTACTTAGAGAAGATGCTGCCAGAAAACATGGGGACTGCAGACTGGGAGCAGCGGGTGCACCCTGGCCTACAGGGAAGGGACTTCTCTATCCAGGGCCCACCCCACTGCTCCCAGTCCTGATTTCTTCTGAGAAGTTTATTGTCACCCTGAAGGCAGTGGGTATGGATTCCTAACTCCTCGAAGAACACTGTCAGCAGCTGGGATGCCGCTGGGAGAAAGGAGACCTCTGTAGAGGAAAATTTCCTTACCTTAAAAAGAAGCTCAGTGCTATAAATGTGGGGACAAGCACACAGTAGATGCTGGGCTGTAGAAAGTATGAAATACAACAAAAAACTCTCTTGATATCTAGGGAACATGACAGAAGTCCCAGCTACAAAGCAAGTATAATTAGTTCTTCTTTATTATTTATTTCAACCTCCAGTGAAAAATACTCTCTCTGAAACTGAATATATCTCAGGGGTAAATAAAATAAAATACTTGTATTCAGGCAGTAAAATCTGCAGAATGAAGGTTTCATTAAGACCACTATCAAACATGGAAGAACATGCTGTATTCACACATTCACTAGCTTGAGACTCACAAATAGGGAATGCGTGATACCTGAGACATAAGATATTGTGCTATACTAAAGGCAGAAGAGACAAATGACTTCTCAGTCCTGGGAAGGATGGTTATTCTGTTGCTTCCTGAATGCATTTATTTTATAAAATATTCAGCATTTCTTTCTAAAATGTCTGTATTATGTTGTCGTTCATCTGTCTGTCCATCCATCCCCCCAGAAAAAAAAAGAAAGGAAGGGAGGAAGGGAGGAAGGGAGGAAGGGAGGAAGGGAGGAAGGGAGGAAGGGAGGAAGGGAGGAAGGGAGGAAGGGAGGAAGGAAGGAAGGGAGGAAGGAAGGAAGGAAGGAAGGAAGGAAGGAAGGAAGGAAGGAAGGAAGGAAGGAAGGAAGGAAGGAAGGAAGGAAGGAAGGAGAAGAGGTGTAATTTATTTGAATGCATTTAATACAAGTCTTAGGTCTGCATATGCAGCTTTTTCTCAGACTGGAAGAAAAATGAACACTTTGGAATTTAAGAGTGAAGGGTCTTGATAAAAAAATCATGGTGTAGCTTTTGACTTGATAACATTTGATGTTAAATGTTAATAAGAGGGTGTACATATAACTAAACTATATTGAATCAAGGAAATCTGAGACAGTTGATAATACTTCTGATGAAGTACCTTTTAATTGCCTTCAATTAAAACATTAAACATACCTCTATCCAATGTTGGGTGAAAAA